GGACGAAAGAGGGGTAGTGTGGATCGGGATCTGGAGATGGAAGAGGAGCTACTTCTAGGCTATATTAGCATGATCAATGGTCGTCAAGCGTATCACAAGGTCAGCGAAAGGTCAAAACACAACAAAATCAGAAACCCTCGACTGCTAGTGCGGGGGATGGCTCGAACTTTGTTCATAAAAACTAGAACAGTGCTAGGGAAGAGAGGTCTGCTGAGAAATCTTTTGTCTGCTTCAAGTGTGACAAAGGACATAATTCGAAGGAACGCTCCCTAGATGTGACCTGCATTGTTTGTGTAAAGAAGACTCATGTTAACAAAAGGTGCGTGTGGTTGTATCAACCACAACCGCCAATGCATCGTGTGGGACTTGGTATTCTTTATAGCTCAGAATGCGAGGAATACCAAGGAAGAGGGAGAAGTCTCGACACTTGGGATTCAAGTGATCACTGGGAGGCTGTCTACTGAAGATCTTCAAATGGGTTTGACATTTTAGTTTCCTTGTGAAAGAGAGTGTCACATCCCTAGTCCTGGCAGGCACTAGGCTAGCCCATGTGTGCATCATGTTTAATTTTTCCAAATAAACTTGAAATGGCGATTGTCCAAACCCTAGCATTAAAGGAATTCACTAGGTTCACCTAAAATATTTTCAGTAAGTCCAAATGGCTTTCAAAAATGTTCATCATTTCTGGTTAATGCTAGAAACCATAACCAGTGGTGTTGCACATTTTTCCATTACATATTTGGTCACTGAATTAAATCATACATTATTTGCAATTGGGCATTTAAATGATATATATTATTTTAAGTGCTCAATTAATTCTGAACTTAAGTGTGGGATGTTTGGAATAAACCCAAGAGAGCCCACAATTATTTGAAGGATGTTTGGAAACATTTTAGTATTTTTAATAAAGCCCAACAGTTGCAGCAGAAATAGAAAACTAGAAACTGAACAGGAAAAAAACAAAGAGGCAGAAGACTTACCGGCCTACCTGTGTTGGCACTATAGCGGCCCAGCCCACCGAGGGCAGAGCCGTCTTCTTCCTCCTGCCAGTAGGCAGAGGGGAAGCGTGGCGCGCGCGCCTGCGTTTTCGGCCACCTCCTGCTTCGCGCTGGCTAGCCTCCCCCGAGTCCACCAGCACGCCCAGGAGATGAGGGCGGCCCCCTCTCACTTTCCCCTCCTTCCTCTGCCTCGCCCCCTTCCTCCGGCCTCTCTTCCTCGCGCCGCCGAGCACACCCGAGACCGCCGATCGCCGCTGCCGCGGCCATCGTGCACCCTCGCCCTTCCGCCGAGTCCAGAAGCACCGCAGAAACCTCCTCGTCCTCCCAATCGAGCTACGTGACGCCGGGAGGCCCTGCTTCATCGTCATGGCGGTCATCTTCAACCTCGGGCACCCGAGCCCCTCACCGTCGATTCGCGCCGTCAAGGACGTCCCCGAGCCCACTGACCTACTGCGCCGCCTCCCTGTGAGCTCCTGCTCCCAACCCCTCTCTCCCCGCCGTCGAATCCCTTCTCTAGCCCCCCTGGCCACCACGGCCGAAGATTGCTGCCGCCGCGAATGTCGCCGTTGTCACTACGGAGGGCCAACGCCGCATCCGAGCACCTGGTCGAGCTCCTAGGGCCCCGTAGCTTCTGCTTGTGCTCTCCGTTCGCTTGGAATCGAGCTGCAGCCCCGC